TTTCTTGATCAACCGGGGGCCTTCTGTCCCACTGAACAACAAAATTCCAGAAGAGGTCTGGAGTGGTAAGAAAGTTGATCTCTCTTTCTTACGTACCTTTGGTTGTTTGGCATACATTTTGAACGACGACCGGACAAAGCTGGATGCTAAGTCCGTCAAATGTACATTCATGGGATATGGGACTAACGAATTTGGGTATAGATTTTGGGATGATCAAAATTAGAAAATTATTTGCAGTCGTAATGTGGTGTTCAATGAAGGCATAATGTACAAGGACCGGAAGGAATACCCGGACGATGACAAGACCATGCAGGAGTATGTTGGTCTTGATATTTCAAATACCAGAATCATGAGACCAACAGATTCAGTGGGAGCTCAGATAGATGATATCGAGCGTACAGAAGAAGAGGCAGAACCAGAATCGGATGAACCGATTGCTGAGAGCAGCACGCCTCTGGCACTGGGCCGAGAACCGAGGATGAGAAGGGCCCCGGATAGGTACTTCCCTTCTCTTTATTATCTACTTTTATCTGATTCCGGGGAACCCGACTGTTATGCAGAGGCAGTTAAAGATGCCCACAAGAGCAAGTGGGAGCTTGCGATGGACGACGAGATGAACTCGTTGAAGAAGAACCATACATGGGATTTGTGTGATCTACCAAAAAGAAAGAAGGCTCTTCAAAACAGATGGGTCTATCGGGTCAAGGAGGAATCAGATGGGACGAAGCGATACAAGGCCAGACTTGTAGTGAAGGATACTCCAGGTGTAATGCTGATCATTGTTGCTATGTGAAAAGGTTCGATAACTCTTTCATTATTTTATTGCTATATGTGGATGACATGCTGATAGCAGGATCATATGTTAAGGAGATCAAGAGGCTCAAAGATCAGCTATCAAGGAGATTTGATATGAAGGATCTAGGAGAAGCGAGACAGATACTGGGCATGAAAATCAAGAGGGACAGAAATGTTGGTAAACTTTGGCTTTCTCAATCTGATTATATTGAGAAGGTGTTGTGCAGATTCAAAATGGATATTGCAAAGCCGGTTGGAGTGCCACTGGGAAGCCAGTTCAGGTTGTCCAACAAGGATTCGCCCAAGGATGACTCTGAAAAGGAAAGGATGAGAATTACGCCTTATGCTTCGGCTATAGGAAGCCTGATGTACGCTATGGTTTGCACCCGGCTAGACATAGCACATGCAGTGGGAGTAGTCAGCCGGTTCATGAGCAATCCTGGAGTGATGCACTGGGAGGCGGTAAAGTGGATCCTTAGGTACCTGAGGGGTACTAAGGACCGGGCATTGGTATTTGGCAGGAGTACCCTTACCCTGTCTGGGTTTGTCGATGCTGATTTTGCAGGAAGTGATCTTGACAAGAGGAGGAGTACTGCTGGGTACGTGTTCACTTACGGCGGGACGACTGTATCCTGGATCTCAAAGCTGCAGAAGATAGTCACATTGCAGCCAAGGAGCTCGTTTGGCTGCAAAACTTCCTGAATGAACTTGGGAGACCTCAAGAAGATGTGGCTCTATACAGCGATAGCCAGAGTGCAATCCATCTGGCAAAGAACCCCGCGTTTCACTCGCGAACGAAGCACATCGAGGGTAAGTATCATTTCATCCGACAACTTCTAGACAAGAAGGTGTTGCAGCTGAAAAAGGTTTCGGGAAAGAGAAATCCTGCAGACATGTTGACCAAGGCGGTAATTTTGGAAAAGTTGAAGCTGTGTGCAGCTTCGACCGGCCTTGATAATTAAAACAGACATACCCGGCAGAACCAAGAGCAGAGATGAACATGTTGATCAATGAGGTGTGAGGACAGATTGAAATTAGTCCTCAAGTGGGAGATTGTTAAGTCAATGGGCAACAGCCCATTTTCTTTCTATCTACCAAAGACAAATAAAAAAATGGAGTAGCACACCGTGGGAGAAAAATGTTAGCACACATTTGTAAAATTTGATGCATTCTTTATCTATAAATAAAGCTAGAATCATGATGTAAAAATCACAACAAAAGAAAACATAACAAGAGAGATAAAGAGAGAAAAAGAGTAAAGAGAGTGTATTCATACGGGCTTGTGTGAGTTGTAACATTCGGTTTATCCTCTTCTTCTAGTTCATTCTCCTGGCTTGGTTTGCCCCCAGACGTAGGATTTAATCCGAACTGGGTTAACAAACTTTCGTGTCTTTTATCGATTTCACATTGGTGTGTTATTATTATTCCATCTTATCCGACCTTATTTCCCTACAAAACGATGGGTATGAGCTTTCATCTGGAGTGAACCGGTGGTTATGAGCTCTGATCTGTTCGAACCGCCTTTGAATTGCCTTAGACCATCGCAAACACTTGCAAGAACTCAACGCCGGAAGGTTTTCCAGCGTAGAGCCTCCGACGCTGAAGTCAGTGACCAAGAAAAGGGAGAAGAGCTGCTGAGAGCAGCAGCAGGAAAATATGGAATGAGTAGTGAGAATGGGAGTTAGGGTTTAAGTTTATCTCAGCTCCTTTATATAGAAGGAATGCCTACTTGAGATGCCCAAAATACCTGGCCGACTTACATGAAATACCAAAAATACTCTGGTCGGTTCGCATTTCATCCATCTCCTAGTCAACGCCAGATTCTTTCTTATCTCATAAATATTCGCCCATGGTTAGAGGACCTATCAAGATGTACTGAAGTGCCCTGAATCGTCGGAGGCCTCGAGAGTCGAGACATGGGGAGTCGACCTCGAGTGCAAAGAGGTCGACTTCAGAGTTTGCGCACAATAATACATCGGGAGTCTTTCACCACCTCGAATAGTTCTCATCTTCTTGGTGGAAGTCGACTTCGGGAGTCGACTTGAGGTAGCCAACTTTCTCCTTCGCAGACGTCGCGAGTCCTAAAGAAAGGAGCTTTGGGAAGTCGGCTTATGATAGTCGACTTTCTATGATCGTCGCTCCGACTGAGAGAGACAGCTCGACTCGTCATTCTGTTGAGTAATAAGCACTTAGGCTAGTATACCTTATTATGACCATATCAACATACTTTATTAAAATATATTACTTAGATTCCTAAATAAGTGGTGGTAAAAGTGCAAAATTATGCAAAATGTTATAAATAAACGCTTAATTTAAATTGTTTTAAAGTTATAAAATTTAATAAGTTTCAATTGTGTCAAAATATATTTGATTTTTTTTTATAATTTATTATTATGTATATTATAAATATTTAAATTTTCTTTCTAACATAATAATTCACATGACAATTCAATACTAGTTGATTTACTTTTATAATTTATACAACATATATTTTTTTATAAGCTAACAATTTTCGTTATTCTTTGAAAGTTCATTGCTTTATCAATATAATTCCTAAAAATTGTAAAAAAAAAAATCCTCATCTAGTAGTTTTTTTTTTTTAATTTACTAATAATTATACTTCGAGTGATTAATCTTATAACCATATTTATTAATTTATATTTTTCAACTCTAATATAATTTTATTTTAGGCTCAACTTATTGATACCACGTTAAAAATAAAAATAGATTAGGCAAATGTAAAATAATTAATTGAAAAAAAAAATTAGAATTTAATTAATAGATTGATATCGTTACATAGAAAAATAAAAGTCTAACAACATATGGTAAAAAAACGTAAAAGAAAATACAAAGATAAAAATAATTTTTTTTATTTACTAACAAAATATTTTTTTACATAAAATCATACTATTTTAAGCGCACACATTTTATATATACTAGTGTGAATCCTTGCGACACACGGAGTAATAATGATAAATCATATAAATTAAAACAAAGAAGAGTCTTTAATTAGCATAAAATAATTTCAAATATTAATATTATTTTTATTTTATTTTTATAATATATAATAGTTTAACATCTTATTTATAGTGTATGTCACTCAGTTATAAAATAACTCTAATTAGTTATATTGAGACCGAGAGGAGATAGATAACAATTAACCGCAAATATTTAGGTGCGCCCTGGCACACCTAGCAAGGTGTGCCAAGACATTTTTAAAATGAACATGTTACATAATAAAATAAACATGTGTCAACATATTTACACATGTTCATTTTATTATGTAACTTGTTAATTTTAAATTGTCTTGGCACACCTTGCTAGGTGTGCCAGAGCGCACAGTAGTAGCACTGACAATTAACTACTATTTAACTTACTGAGTAATGTTCTCCTATCCACGGTGGGCACATGTTAATATGTCCACCATTTATGTGGCACGCACACATTGGTGATGTATTATTTTGAAGATATTAACATCACCAATGTGTGTATGCCATATAAGCGGTGGACATATTAATATGTGTTCACCGTGGGTAGGTGAGCATTATTGTTAATTTACACTTGAGAGAAAAGTTGGCTTAATTTAGTGATTATCTGTAGTATATGTAAATTTAAAAGGATTTAGATGAATAAAATAATTCGTAAGTTAATTATGAGGAAAAAACGTAACTTAAAACCTATTTTTTCAATCTTGTTTCATTTAGAGTAAAAAACGAGCTTTTATTTGTTAAATAGCTTAAGTAAATATTATTAATTGTTCATAGTTGAATCATTCTTCGAAATTGTACTAGTCTAAATATTTTTTTCATTATTTTGGTATTTTATTTCTCATGTGAAATACGATCTTATCTGCCACTATCTATAGCTATATAGTGCACTTGCAGAGTAATTACATGTTTTAGTGAACAATCCCCCCTATATATTAATACAGAATGCGCTGAGCCTATATGGCTGCTTCTGGTGCTTTGGAATCCTATGTGGCAAAATTACATGCTTCGTTATTAGGCTTGGATAAATTTTAATTTAATTCCAAACCAAAAATAATTAGGTTCAGATTACCATAAATATGTTGATTATTTATGGTCATGTTACATATATTAATTGTATTTTAATATCATTCCTTATTATAACTATTGAATTGTATATATATTTTAAAAGTTAATAACTTTGGTATTTTTTTATCAGTTTTACATATGTAATATATCAAATTAATCTTGTTTTGATCAGCTTCGATTTAACATCCATATTGTATGTATAAAAAAAAATTATATTTATCTTTATAACAATAATAAAATTATTTTTAATATTAATTAGAAAAATAAAATTATTTATCAACTAATATATTTATATTTCAAGTAGTTATATGATATAAGTTATAAAAACTAATATAATATAACACATGTAAGTCATAAGTAACACATATCATTCTAAAATATATAGTAATATATTTTTTTTTGTAAAAAAGTAAACTAAATTTAATATAATTTTCTCATTAATTTTAAAATTTATTACCATAAATATGTTGATTATTTATGGTCATGTTACATGTATTAATTGTATTTTAATATCATTCCTTATTATAACTATTGAATTGTATATATATTTTAAAAGTTAATAATTTGGTATTTTTTATCAGTTTTACATATGTAATATATCAAATTAATCTTGTTTTGATGAGCTTCGATTTAACATCCATATTGTATGTATAAAAAAAAATAATTTATATTTATCTTTATAACAATAATAAAGTTATTTTTAATATTAATTAGAAAAATAAAATTATTTATCAACTAATATATTTATATTTCAAGTAGTTATATGATATAAGTTATAAAAACTAATATAATATAACACATGTAAGTCATAAGTAACACATATCATTCTAAAATATATAGTAATATATTTTTTTTTGTAAAAAAGTAAACTAAATTTAATATAATTTTCTTATTAATTTTAAAATTTAAGAATAATTTTTTAACAAGCACCTGTGTAATACACGGGTGTTGTACTAGTGTATATATGAGTTATAGAATGGGATACCACACTATTGAACAATTTACACCCTTAGGGTTCAGCAGACCATTATGCATAACCAAACTCACAATTATATATTTTTTTGTTCAAGGGCAATCAAAAAGGTGTTCATTACTCATTAGATACCATTTAACATTCCAAAAGTTATATATGGGCTTGATTGTTTATGAATTATTTTACTCATCTTTATTTCATACTTAAAATTTAACTCAACTTTAACTCAACCTCACTATTTTTAATATTATTCATATAATTAAATAATACAACCCAATCATTTTTACACATCACATCAACTTTAATTTACTATTTATCTACTCACATAATTTTAAATATCTATCATTTCTAATAATTTATCTCTTACTTTTACAACAAATCAATTTTAATCATTTTATTTTAAATATTATTTTAATACAATATTAAAAATTCACTAACAACTATCATATCATTTTTTTCAAAATTAACTATGGTTAACCAAAATAACTCATTGAACAAATTATTTCATAAACAATCAGACGTATAATGTCTTGTGAACAACCATAATAGAGTTATACTCAGTGTTCGCCTAAACGGCCGTTTAGGCCGTTTACACGCTGTTTAAACGGTAAACGACGCTATGGTGTGCAGTTTACCGGATAAACGGTAATTAAACGGGCTAGCCGTGTAGACGGAAAAAAAACCGTGTAAAATGTGTAAATGGAACGGTATTAGACGGATTTTAAACGCCCTAAACGGCCGTTTAGGCCGTTTACACGGTCCGTTTTGGAAATAGAAGCGGTTGGGCGGGAGAACGAAAAATTGATCCGTTTTGTGAGAACTATATATGCGTGCAGTGTGTTACTAACTGTTGTGTTGTAAGATGAACACCTGTGATGTTGACTGTTGTGATGTTATCTGCAATTTGCGTATGGGCTATGGCTATGTCATTGACTCATAAGTCATAATATTAATACTAATGGAGTTAAAAACGTGTAATCCGTTTAATCCCGTGTACACGCCGTCTAAACACTACACGTGCCCGTGCCGACTGTTTACCGTTTAGCGTTTAGGCTAACACTGGCTATACTTGTGAAATGACGTTTTTCTTCAATCAAATTTGTGGCCGGACCAGTGCAATTTGGAGAAAGAAGTTGCTACATTATGTAATAACTATGTGTATAATTTTATATAACATGATTGAGTATGAATGTGACCTTAGTGAAATGATAGAAATTGAGAAGGAAAAGACTGGAGGTCAATGCATTTACAAATGAAAATAGTCAGTTTTAAAAGTTCATATCTCAGTACAAAACTAAAAAATTAAGAATAAGGATGCGCTATTTGCAGTCGAAATACATTGTTTGAAATCAAGAGCGCTTGGATGAGATGACTTGGATCTCTTCCAGTTTAACCAGTGGTCTCGTGTTCGAGCCCTGGGAATGCAGCAGTGTTAAAAACTCTTGAGGGAGAGTTTTGCCGCCCTTGTGATCCTACCCGGCTCGATTTCGGATTAGTCGGTTCTCCTGTGGATCCGAAAACTGGAAGCTCCCTGTACCAAAAAAAAAAATAAAAAAAAAATACATTATTTGACCAAATTACACCAATTCTGAGACTTTAAAAAAACCATATACTTATTGTGTACAAATACTTATTCCATTTCTATGATTTTTATGGGTACCTTTTATGTAATTTTCATACTTATGTAACGTAATATCAATTATTTAGTAATTTTAAATTTAATTTTACTTTATACGTATGAGCTACTGATTTGTAATTAACTTTATTATTACATAATTCTACAATTTAGTATTGAAAACATAATGAGATTCAATATGCAAAATAATAAATACATTGGCAGTATTGAAAATGCATAAAAGCTTATATGAATATAAATATTTCTTTGTTTTAGGAATCCCAATAGAGATATCTCCAAGATCGTCGCCACCAAGACGAATGGAGAAAATGTTGGGTCATACAATAAAAGACCTGAGGTAGATCGAACGAATAAATATATTTGTTCAACCCATATATAACCCCGTAGCCGCAATCATCTGACAACGCCCGATGAAGGTCCCGGAAGTCCGACAACCACTGGTGAACTTAGTGGCACCAACCGTGCTTA